TGTCACTTCCCGGGGCGTCCCCCCCCCCGCCACCCAGCTCCCGGGCGGGCACCCGGTGGCGGAGCCCTCCAGCCTCCCCGGCCGCCCGAGCTCAGACCCCGTTCTGCCCGCGGCCGAAGCCTTCGGGTGGGCTGGCCGGGGCCGGGCCGCCCCGGGGTCCTTGTTGGGCCGCGTCTTTCTGCTTTTTGGGTGAAGCTGCGTGCAGGGTCTGGAGCTCCCCGGGCGGGCAGTTGCAAGTTGTAGGGATCCAAGCGAGGAGTTGTGCTCTCTCCCGGTGGGAAGTGGCGCGCGCGCCCTGCCCGCCACTTGGTGGGCCCGGCCTGGACCGTGCGGGACCCCCGGAGCGGAGCGGCCGGCCGAGCGCTCCGGCGTCCCCGGGCTCGGGGAGCGGGTTGCAGAGGGCGGGACTGTTTTGGCTCCGCCGCTCTTTGTCGTTTCCTGCGGGAGAGTGGGGGGAGTCGGGTTGCAAGTTTACATTTCGGACCGAACGAGTATACATTCCAGAGAGCGAGGCTTTCCTTGATGGCAGAACAAACGGACCCCAGCCCTCGCTGCGCCCTGCCGTCCTCCTCACCGGGGATTTGCAGCCTGGCTGCCAAAGGGCTGGGGTCCAGCCTGTCCTTTCTTACCCACCCGTGTCGGGAGTCGGGGCCGTGGCTGCTCTCCGGGATCCCGGACCCCTGGACCTTCATGGTTTTCCGCCTAACTTTCCTCCTGCTCCTTTATCATCTCCGTCACCCAGGCTGCACTTTGCCTGACTTGTAAGGCCTTTTGTGACCTTGGCCGCCAGGTTGTGCCTCTCGGGGGGGCTCCTCCTGGGGCTTCTGCTCCCGCAGCGGGCAGGCCCCCCTGTCCCTGAGCTTTTGCGGTGCCATGCCTGCCCCCACTGCTGGTCTCCTCCAGTGCTGGCCCTCTGACTTGGGCAAGCCTCTGGGGCGGCCCTGGCCCTCAGGGTTCTTTCTTTTTTGTGATTCCAGTGCTTGTTTCTATTAGATGTCTGCGGAGTGACAGTGGAGCTGTTTGGACAGTGGCTGTGGGAATAGTCAGTCCTGAGACAGTCCTAGGTCTTCTGGGCCCACACTCGTCTTGCTCCACATGCCGGCGGGTGGGTGGGGTGTGTGCTTCTTGCCTCAGGACCACTAGGGCTGAACTCTCTTCCCACCCCATTTCTAGAGATGAGGAAGTGGAGGCCCAGACTTGGGCACGGAGGTCAGCGACAGAGGTGGGCTTTATGACTCTGGGACCTGAGTGTGTAAGCAGCATCCTGGGTACTTCCATATGGTTTCATCCCAGCCACCCTGATAGAAACGTCGCCATCCATCTGCAGCTGATGGGGGAGGTGTGGGTGCACATTCTGTTTGGGACTGCTTCAGGTGTGGTGACAGTGGGGGTCCTGGCTGTGGAGAGCCTGCTGGTGTGTGTGTGTGTGTAGTGAACTGAGGACTGGAACACAGCAGAGACGGAGGAGTGCCTGGAGCACTCAGGAGAGTCAGGAGGCAAGCAGAGGAGCAGGAGCACAGACAGCCCTGTGGAGGAGGCAGGGAGTGGCTTGAGCTCTGGCTGAGAGCTTTTGCCTCCCTCCTCCCAGTTCTGTGGGGTGGGACTCCTGTCACTCCCACTTGACAGAGGCGGAGAGAAAATACATTGTTCATACTGCTAGTAAGTGCTCCGTCTGGGATTGGAACCCTGGCTCTGGAGTTGACACCATCCCACTGAGCGCCAGGAGGTGGGGAGGGGCTTCTCTTTGGAGCTCTGCATTTTAAGATACATGGACACCTTTTGTTGGCTTGCAGCATGACCTGATGGTGTCAGTGAGGACACTGTAGGTGTGGCACCTGTTGAGTTGCTTGACTGTTCTGTCTAGAGAAGACCAAAGGGAGCATTCAGTGACAGAGTGAGTGGGGTCTCCTTGGTGGGGAGGTGACTGTGGGCAAGAACATGGCTGTGTCCCTCCCCATGACGTCACACACCTTCCAGAAGCTTAGCCAGCACTCACTGTGGTGACTTCCAACATCACACCTTTGGCTAATGCTGTGGTTTTAAGAAAAGTCTGTGTTGAAAAGTTTCCAAAGAACCATGTCCTGGATGGTTTTGCCAGGCAATTCCAGGAACAGCGTGAATGGCTGTCAGGTGGAGGGGAGGGTGACTGCTCTGCTTGGTTTCACTCCGGTGGAGCCGAGGCCTCAGAACGGGGTAGCAGGGTCGGGACAGCACAGTCTGTTCGGCATCAGTAGGGGCTTTAAATGACTGGAGTTCCGTTAGGGCAACTCTTGATTCTGGGCAGAAGGGAAGGCGAGGATGCTCACATCCGGGTCAGCCCAAGCTCTCCCCACGGTTCTAGGAGTTGGCACTGGAGGGTCCCACTGGTTCTCAGGAAGGGAAGACAGAAGTGCTAGGGGACAGGGATTCATTCCCATTAGCTAATGGGCTGTTTCCGCCCAAGGGAAAATTACTGGCCTCCCCCCTTACCAACCACAGCTTTTTTGGGGGGAGCGTAACAACAGGGCTGTGTTTCCTTGGAGGGCTGTGGCGGGTCGTGGGTGGGCCTTGCTTCCACTCCGAACACTGACTTGGCGGCATGAATGAGTCACGAGGGGAAAGAAAATGATAAAACTCCATCTCATTTGGAAACATGAATCACAGCTCATTGTTTGCAAGTACTTGGAATCTGTTAGAAGCATTGTTTGTAAATGAGACACTTCAGTTATTTATTTATTTTGTAAATTGGGGAAAGGAGTAAACAGCTGATCTGTTGCTTCCTCAGCAAGGCAGGAAATGCTGGTCTCCCCCGCCCACCCCATTTATTCCAGTGGGGGCTGGGGTTGCCCCCAGTAAACTTACTAGCCTGTTAATGTCTCCCCCTAGGCTTGAATTGGGCGGGTCAGTGTTTATGGATTTGGTTAATTAACAGAGGAATGAATTTTGACCTGTCCCACGGAGGGCTTGGCCTGGGTGAACTTTTCCATCATCCCCCAGCTAGGCAGAGTCTGAGGTCTCAACGCCAATAAAATTATTATGGATCCTGTTCTTAAGATGAGGTAAAAAGATGGAGTGTGTTCTAGAGTCACACCTGAGGATGGTGTGCTTACTTCTCTCATTGGTGTGAGAGGCAGAATAATGGCTCCCTTCCCCAAATGTCCATGCCCTCATCCCCAGAACCTGTAAATACGTTATGTGACATGGCAGAAAGGGCTTTGCAGATGTGGTTAACGTAATGAGACTTAGAGTTGGAGAGATGACCTTGCATTATCTACGTGGGCCCCCAAAGCAGAGAACTTTCTCTGGCTGGTCACAGAAGAGTGGAGTCAGAGGTCGCTGGCCCTGAGTTGTAGGAGCCCCCTTGCAAGGACCAGGGAGCTCAGGGCAGCCCCCAGCTGGCAACCAGCAAGGAAACGGGGACCTTAGTCCTACAGGCACAACTGGATTCTGCCAGTACCCCTACGAGCCTGGAAACAGATCCCTTCCTGAGCTTCCCACAAGAGCCCAGCGGGCCAACAGCTGGATTTTGAGACGCAGAGCCACTGACTGTCTGACCTGGGGAGCTGGAGATTATCCCTGTGGACCGTTTGAAGCTGCTCAGGGTGTGGCCGTTTAAGGCAGCAAGAGAAACCTAACAGGTGGTGCTGAGAGCAGTTTGGGAGAGAAAGGTTCTCTTGCTAGTCTTCAGCTTTGTTATGGAAGAGATTGAACACCAGTGGACCCAAGTGTGGGTGCTTCATTTTGGCTTTTTCTACGGAGAACTCAAAGGGGATGCAGGTGTTGGTGCTGCAGACACCTTTAACTCCTGTCTTACTCCTCATAAGCAAATTACTCATCTTCCTGAGCCTCGGTTTCCCCATCTGGACGGTGGAACTAAGCCTGGCTACCACAAAGACCAAGGACGATGCATTGAAATAATGTTGGCAGAAGAGGGGGCATTGTGTTTGAGATCAGCCAAGCACTCAATGGGGTGTTGCTTTTATTAATTTTTTATTTTATAAAGTGCGGTTCAGAAATGTAGTGACAAGTGATTTTCTGTTTGGATTTGACAGGTACGGTTTGCTGCGAGAATACTTTTCTTCAAAAGGTGATTTCTTAATGGTGTGTTTTGCCCCTCTCAGGGGAAAGTCTCATTTGCTTAGTGCTGGGGAGCATGACTTGTGTGTATTTAGATTAGTTCTGACTGATGATAACTGCTAGGAGTAGTGTAATGTCCAAATAAATTTGGGAGTGTGGGAGTTGCAGAGAGATGTCTTTTGTTATCTAGAGTAGAAAGCAAGCTGCTACTTTGGGGAAGAAAAATTAGATTTAATTGTAAGTCAATAGAAATGCGGACATTTTCATTCACTGGAGTTGCAGAAAAACCAAATTAGGGCATATTATATTTCTACAAACCTTATTTTACTTTGAAAACATTATAAAAATTTTAAATTTATTGTTGTGCCAATGTTTGCATAGAATATTACATCTTATCAGGCTTGTCTTAGGGGTTGTGAATAGTTCCTTCTCTTGTTTGCTTCCTTCCTTCCATCCTTCAATCCTTCCTTCCTCCTCTTTTGTATTTTTTCTTTAACTTTGTATTTTCAGATA